GTTTCAAATTCCTTTACCAAGAAATTCTTTAACCTCAAAATTTTAGAAGAATAATCACCAGTGATGATTATATAATCAACATAGATAATTAGAATAGTCTTATTATTTCCAAAATTTGTTTTAACAAACAAATTATGATCAACCTGGTACTGAAGATCGCCGAAATGTAAAAAAACTTTGGTAAAACTCTCAAACCAAGCACATGGCGACTACTTAATGTCATAGAAAGACTTTAGCAGTTTGCAAACTTGTCTCATATTAGAAGTCGAATATGAGCTAGGTGGTTTCTGCATATACACTTCCTCCTCCAAAGTACCATTGAGAAAATATTTTTTAACATTGAGCTAATGAAGTGGCCAATATAAATTTGCAACAAGATACAATAATATGTGAACGGTGTTGAGTTTTGCAACTTATGAAAAAGTTTATTGATAATCAATCCCATAAGACTGAGTGAAACCTCTTGTCACCAACATTGCCTTGAATTGTTCAATGCTTCCATCCACATTATATTTAATTGTAAATAGCCACTTGCAATTTACAACTTTTTTTTTCGGAAGGTAAATCAGTCATAATCTAAGTTTTGTTTGCCTACAATGCCTAAATCTCTTTCTCGATAGCCTTCCTCCACCTACGATCCTTTAAGGTCTCATCAACCGTTTTAGGAATTGAGCAGGTATCAATCTGGGTTGTAAAGGCCTTGAATGAAGGCATAAGCCTCCCATATGCCACATACTTCTAAATTAGGTACTGAGTACAAATCCTTACACCTTTCCTTAAGTCAGAAGAATCAATTAAAGGAGAAATAGTTGTACATTAAAAGATGTTATACCTTCATCACCATTCAAGGAAATTGGAATCAGATCAAGTTCATGAGCGGTCCTAAACTATGTAGTAGGATATTTCTTCCTCTTCGTATAAACATTGAGTTCTCTTGATTCAGCCTGAGAATGAGTAGTTTTGGGTAGAGGGAATGATTCAATTTGTGGTAATGGTAAAACTTGTAGAGGGTTGGAAAAAGAAGATGTAAGTGGTACATCAAGGGGTAAAAGAACTTGTTGTTGCTGAAATTCATTCAAACTCTCCCCCTAAAATTCAGAATTGGAAAAATAAGGTTGAAACTCATTAAATGTAACATCCATAGAGACATGGGTTTAAGAGAGGAATAGCTAAGGAAAATACACTTAGCATCCCATGGATCTAAATTACCCCGATATTGTTTATGAATATGGACAAAAACAGATCATCCAAACACTCGAACATGAAGGGTATAATCCATGGATTTAAAAATGGATAGTTTTGAAGTAACATCTCTTTTGGTGTTTGAAATATCAAAATCTAGCTAGGTAAGCAGTTTTTGAGGTAGGTGGTAGTAAGTAAGGTCTCGCCCCAAAATCGTTTAGGTACATTTGTTGAAAACAACAAATAACAAGTTATCTCCAGAAGATGCTTGTTTCTCGTCTCTGTCACCCCATTTTGTTGGGGAGTATCAACACACGAGCTTATGTGAATAATGTCTTTTCTATAAAGAAATGAACCCAAGGTGTTGGTAAAAAACTCACTGCCATTGTCACTCTTGAGGATTTTGTTATCAAATTGGGTTTGAAGTATATGATAAAAGGTTTCAAAATACTCTCAGTTTCAGATTTGGTACTCATTAAATACATCCAAGTTGTTCGAGTGTGATCATTAATAATGGACATAAACCATTTAGCCCATGTTACATTAGGAATAGACGAGGGACCCCAAATATCAGTATGAATAAGTGAGAAAGGTTGGGACGGTTGATAAATTGAAGATAAAAAAGAAGATCATTTATATTTTGCAAGTTGAAAGACATCACAAGTAAAACAAGAGATTTTTTATTGATAAATAAGGAAGGGAACAACTTTTGCATGAAATGAAAGTTCAAGTGACCAAGGCGAAAATGCCATAGCATAATGTTATTTGAATTTAAAGATTATAAAGTGGCAGAGAAATAAACAAAAGAAGAATTGGAAGCACAGTCTGATTGAGCTTGTCGTTGAGGATAAGAACAACCTTTAAGAATGCATACACCACTACACAATTTAGTATTGCCAATCACCCTCTCCGAGTTCATTTCTTGAAAATCATAGCCATGAGAACTGAAATTAGTGAGGCAGATCAAATTAGTGCCCAATTTACTAATAGACAAAAAACCTTAACAAATCGTTGAACCATAGGCTACATGAAATCGATGAACAAGTTTTGATTTCCTGTCATATGATTAGTAGCACCCGAGTCCACAATCCAAGAAAACAGATAAGTATTGGTTAGGAAGAAATCACTACCAAACGGATTCATGGTCGTAGGAGTTTGGTCAACACAAGACAAATTTTGTTGAATCAACTGGTTTAATTCTTCAAACTGTTGTTAATTGAAGTTAAGAGATGAGTCTAATAGTGGAACATTGGCGGAAAGAGTCTGTTGGGGTCGTTAGCATTGGAGTTTCCAATCAGCAGGTCAACCACGTAGTTTTAATCAATTATTCTTTAAGTGACCCACCCGTCAACAATGATCACACCAGGACTTACCAAATTTTTGTTTTTCTGTAAGTGGCAGAAGAATCAGCAAGGACATCACTGCTATGATAAATATCGCTGTAAGAATTAATTTTCGAGGAAGAGGATGGAGCCACCGGAGAGAAATAGAAACGGTAATCCTAAACTGATACCATGTGAGTTTTAGATAAGCTAAATTGATTTTTGAATTTTATCCTCTTTCACTACATTTTACAAAGTAAAGACTATTCTTATTTATAGGTCTCTGCAACAAATAACTCTAACAAATTATTTCAAATTTAAAATTTAAAAACGAAAACTACCAGCGTAATATTTTAGGATTTCTAACTGACATAATCTATAACCAACACATTGTTACTTCAAATGATTTTAACATTTGATTAAAATTGATTTTGAATGAAAGAAAATAACTTTTTAAGGAAATAATGGTATCAAATTTAAGTATAAACAGATACATCCATGTCATCCTAGTGCAGTCATCAACTATTGTAAGAAAAACTCAATGTTCACTATGAGTAGATACTCGATAAGCACCCCATAAATCTACATGAATTGACTAAAAGAATGTTTCTAACCTAGACTGACTAGATGAAAATAGATACCTAGTTTACTTAGCTAATGGGAAAATAGAACAAGTATGCACTGTAGAAGTATTAAAATTACAATCAGCAAGCAAAGGAATATTGTACAATTTTGAAAAAGAAGCATGCCCCGAATGTGCATACCACATCGAGGTTTTATTAACAGAGGAAAACATACATTGGGAAGAAGGATTACATGACATATTTAATATTTTAAAAATGAAGAACAAGGAACAAACAATTCAGACACCTCAAGAACATATAAACCTCCTCTTTTCCTACCAATCATCTGCATCTTACCACTAAAGAGATCTTAAAAGACATAAAAATCATGATAAAACTGAACCACACAGTTCAAATTTGTAATTTTCCTTAAAACATATAATAGGTTGTGAGTAAAACTATTCACATAGAGAATATCATGTAACACATGTATGGAACCAATAGAAACAGTGTTTTAAAAAGCGCGCCTGAGGCACTTTGAGGCGCTAGGCGAGTCGAGGCATTTAGAAGAAAGCCTCCGACCACCAAGGCGACGGCGAGTACATGAGGCGGCGATTCAGCCGTCGGAGGCGACGAGGCGATGCTTTTAGCGATTCACGTACAATGACACATTTCAGATTGAGCTTTAGATTTTATGCTCTGGGCTCAATTTTCTTCCAACAGTCAGACCTTTTAAATGCAGATTACTTACATCGATGTATTCCTGGAAATTTGAACCGTCTCTTGACCTTCTAACTTCCAATTTTTTAATTATTGTATGTCTATAAATCATGATCCAAGCTCTCTAGTTTCTCCGATGCATACCCTGGAGCTTCTTTTCCCTCCTAAATTTTTCTTTCTCCATCCTCCATTCATGCTTAATTCAACGATTGTTCTACATTGAAGTTGAAAGCAGGCTCCTTTCTCAGTTTCTCCTATATCCTTTCTTGATTTTCTCCATTAAAGTAAGTCTTAATTTTTAAATTTGTATCACTGTAGTGTATGTAATATGCAATCTTCTTTTCTTTTCCCCTCGACTTCTACATGGTTAATTTGCTTCACTGTAATTTATTAGATTGTTTTTCTAAAATGGCCACCAACAATGCTACCAGTTCCGTTCATGATGCTATTGATCCGGGGAGGAAATAGTAACCTGACCCACGAATCTAGATTTACTTGCAAATTTGTGGAAAACCACTACTAGAGGAGTATACTGAGTAAAACAACATTTAATCAGAGGTTTAAAAATTCTAAATGATGCCCCAAGTGTCCCGATCATGTGTGTGAAGTAAGACTACATGATCCAGAAAGAAAGTGGAAAAATACCGACGTTTCCCAACGAATGAAGTGGAAGTTGATGAGTACGATGAAGAGAATGATGATGGTGCGGGAGAAGGAGGTAGCAAGGTTCCCCCTCTTAAAAAAACAAAACAAAAAGGTCCCATGGATAAGTTTTTCGCTAAAAAACCAGAAGACATACTCAAAGGTAGAAAAGGTGGGAAACAACAAAATAAACGAAGTGTATCGAAAGACCTTAGGGACAAGGCTTGTAGAGATAGCTCGCTGGTTTTACGATGCGGGCTACCTTTAACGAGGCGTCTTATGATACTTTCACATGCAATGGAAGCGGTTGCTCAATTTGGCCCGGGATTCAAATCATCAAGCATGCATGAGCTTAGAGTTCCTTTGCTTAAATGAGGTAGAATCCACCCAAAACGTTGAAATTACAAGAAAGAATGGGCTTAAAAGGTTGCTCAATTCTCTAGATCGATGGTATGATTCAACTGTTCAGAAAGATATCGTGAACTTTTTAGTGAATTCTCCTAAAGGTTCGGTCTTTCTAAAATCGTTGGATGTCTCAAAAATTAAAAAGGATGCAAACACATTGTTTAAAATGTTTGATGATATGGTGGAAGTGATAGGAGAGGAGAATGTATTGCAAGTGGTGACAGACAATGCATCTAATTATGTTAAAGCAGGTAGGTATACAATATACTAAACAATTAACATATGCTTACATAGTTACTTGTTTTGAATATTCTTGCTTCTCCCTTTAATCTTTTATTTCTCTCTCTTTTAGGAATACTTTGAAAAGTGCCATCTTCATGAATGGTTATATCTATAACCATGTTGCCATTGTCAACATGATGAGGAGGTTTACAAATCAAAGAAACCTACATAGGCCCACAATCACTAGATTTGCAGCATCGTTCATCACTCTCGCCCAGATGCATAAGCAAAAAAACAATTTGCGAAAGATGATCACTTCTCCAGAATGGAACAATACCACTTGGTCAAAGGATCCTACTGGGAAGAGACTAACATCAATTATTTTGCAAGAACGCTTTTGGAGAAATATAGTGTATGTTTTGAAGTTGACATGACCTATTGTCAAGGTATTGGGAATGGTAGATGGAAACAAAAAGCCAGCCATGGGATATATCTGAGTCTATAGATATGGCTAAATAGACTATCGCTCTTAGTTTCTTACACAAAGAAGAACACTATAAGAAAGCTTTTGAGTATATTGATGCAAGGTGGGATTGCCAACTTCATAGGCCATTGCATGCAGCCGGGTTTTTTTTTAAATCCGGAAATGTATTACGAGAATCCAGAGAATGAAATGTGTGCAGAGGTTATGAACGGGTTGTATGCTTGCATTCAAAGGCTGGTACCTGATTTGAGCACTCAAGATAAGATTGGGGAACAATTAGACTTGTATCAAAATGCCCAAGGTCTTTTTGGCAATCCGATGGCTATAAGACAAAGAAAGAAAAGAGCTCCAGGTAAAAAACATACACACAGACGCATATATGTATAATATATATATATATCATACCTCACAAAATTAAATTTTGATTTATTTATATGTTAACATCGGATTGGTTGTTTACATAAAGAGCCTCAGCACCGGAATTACAAAAATTTGCAATCTGAGTTCTTAGCCTAACTTGTAGTGCTACGGGTTGCGAGAGGAACTGGAGCGTTTTTCAACAACTTCATTCAAAAAGGAGAAATAGATTGGCACAAAGTCATTTAAATGACATGGTGTATTTCAAGTTTAATCGTGCTTTGCGACGGAGATATCAAAGAAAGGACACCACATATCCTATTATTTTGAAGGAAATAGATGAAAGCAACAAGTGGTTGATGGGCCATATGGACAATGAAGATGGTGAGGATGACGAATTTGTCTTTGATGGAGATGATTTAACATGGTCTGTTGTTGATAAAGCTTTCGGGGGCATCTCAAGCTACTTATTCCACTAGAATAACATCTATATCAAGTTCATCAAGAGATAGAGGAAAGGGTGTTGCCCAAACCTCCACTCGTAGAAGGCCCTCTACTGGACTAAATTGATTGAAGACGATTAAGAGATAGACAGGATATTGGACTTTTCGAAGATGATAGGGGAGGAGGTGCTTGGATTGATGTTGATTATGATGATGATGAAGACAAGTTTTAGGCATTTTGATTATTGATAATGTTTTTTATTTGTCTTTTTGAGATACAATATGACATATGCTACTTGGTGTTTTTTCTTATTAAGTTAATTATTAAGTTGTTTTGTGTTTGAGGTATGGTTATAAAATATTTACAAATGTTTTGTAAAATTAAGCGCCTCGCGTACGTGAATCCCTTGCCTCAAAGCACCTCAAAAATTGAGGCTCTCGGGTAGCTAATCGCCTTTGAACGCCTCGTGCCTTTTAAAACACTGAATAGAAATCAAACCAATATGTGTAATACGAAGGGTGGTAGATTCGGGAGATGAACAAATCCCGAAGAACATAAAATAGGATTAATCAAGCATTGAACATTAGATAATAAATGGTCTATAGCACCAATGTTAAGAATACATGAAATTGAACTAGACTCAGCAGGTAAACATCTAGAAATCATACATGCAAAGTTGGCAGTAAAAGCACCAGGTTCAGAAGGATTGCCTTTACTTAATAATCCTATGAGTTAATTATACTGCTCTATTTTCAAGGTAGTTGCCATTGCAGAATATGACTCAGAAACTTAAACAGATGTTTCAGGAACCTCTGATTTTACTACTATGGTCGTAGGAACACCCTTGTGTTTAGTAAATTTAAAATCAAGGGGACCATTGAGATGATAACATTGATTCCTTGTATGACCTTTAATTTTACAAAACTAGTAGACACCATTAAATCGATCGTGACGAGTAATAGAAAAATTAGAATAAATAGCAATTGAATCAAAGATAAGAGAAATTCTTGATGAATAAATGTGTTGGGATTCTCCTTGTACTACCATAGAATAGGCATGATTGACAGAAAGAATGAGATACATGATAAGGATTTGACTCACTATAGCAGTATATGTTTCATTAAGACTCATTAAAAACTTAAGCAAACGTTGTTGATGAATGTGCTACAAATTTTGTCTCGATTCCTCACAATTGCAAGAACTAATTGGGACTAAAGAAGAATACTCATCTTAAAGAATTTTTAAACGAGTGAAATAAGTAGAAATAGATGAGTCACCTAGCGTGAATAAAGTGATATCTTGATGAAGAAAAAATATATGCGATCCATCAATGTTACTGGATCGTTCCTTCAAATCCTTCCATACAAACGTAGTTGTAGACACAAACACCAAACCCGCAGAAAGCTTAGTGCTCACCATGCTAAGAATATAAGAAAGAACAATCGCGTTACAGCGATCCCACTATGACTATAAGGCTACCCCATAATCTCACAATAATAGTCACCATCAACAAACCCTATTTTTTAGCTAACAATACAATCCTCATCAAATGGCTCCCAAGAGTATATGTTTCAATTTTTGTCAATTGGTGAGAAACAATAATCATTTTAGGCATATTAAAAAGATATAGATAAAGAAGAATTCTAAAATCAACAAATTCATACCAAGACATGGAAAATGGAGAAAAAATTGGGAACAAACAGAGAAAAATGAAGACCTAAAGGATCGAGGAAAAATTTTTTAAAAAAAAAGAGAGAAAATTGAGGCTTTCACCTATACCATGTAAAGATTACACGTGTAATAAATAATGCCTCATATTCTCATTGTTGTAAAACAAGTAAAAACATAAAATAAAAAATGTATTTCTCATTGATTTCTCTCTAGTTTACACAAGGACTTATCTTATAGATTTAGATTCTTTATAGAATTATAACATTGTCATTTACTTTATAACAAACTTGTCAGCTCATGCAACAGATTTCACACGTAGCACTAACCAACTCTCCACACAACATAACTCTATATTGGCTCAACATTCTCCCTACTTCTCAGGTTCTTCCATGACACGAACCCTTTGTCTAAACTCTACAAAAGATGATTTAGTCAACAGTTTGGTTAAGTCATCAGTAACTTGATGACCAGTAGGTATGTAATTTACATTAAGCTTTTTTCCCTATACCTTCTCACAAACAAAGCCCATGTCAAGCTCTACATGCTTCATTTTCATATGAAACATAGGGTTAGCACTCATTACTACTTCTCTTGTGTTGTCACACCATACTACAGGTATTATATTCGTTTCTTGACCCATGTCAACAAGCAAAGTCTTAACCCAGACAACTTTAGAGACCACATCTACAATACTATGAAATTCTACCTCAGTGGTTGATCTAGCAACTGTTCTTTGCTTCTTAGAACTCCAAGAGATTATATTAATGCCAAGGAATACGCAGGAACCAATCATTGATCGGTGGTCATCGGCATTGCTCGTCCAATAAACGTCAGCAAAAGCGATTACCTTCGAAGGAGATCCTTCCTTAAACACAAGTCCATAATGAAGTGTGCCATATGAATACCGTAAAATTATCTTTACATCTATCCAATGTCCTTCACATGTGGCATACAAGTATTGAGCAACTCCATGAACTCTAAATGTTATATCTAGACAAGTGTGTGTTAGATAGAGTAAAGCTCCAATGATACTTCTACAGAACTAAAGATCATCAAGCATTTTACCAGACTCACCTGTGAGCTTGGAAAAAATTGCCATCAGTGATGGAGCTGGCTTTGCTTCATCCATTTTGTTTTTTTTTCTATCAACTCTTTAATAAATTTTCGTTAGAGAAGCACTAGATGATCATGAGTTCTGGTAACTTCAATGCCCAAAAAGAATCATAAGTCACCAAAATCTTTCAAAGAAAATTGATCACCAATACAGTGAATAACCTTTTCTGTAATACCTCAAATATTAGGCCAATGATTATTTTGAAAGGGTTTAAAAAAATTAGGAGGATTAAATTGAATAAATGGTAAAGTATAAGAAATGATTTAATTAAGACCAATTAGTAAGAATAGAATAATAAAAGGGCATTTTGGTCCTTTAGATTGAAATGAATTTAAAATTCATTTTATTAGGGATTTAAGAAAGGGGAAAAAGGGAAAGTGGAAAAACAAAACTAAGTTATCTACTCTTCTTCCTCCCCATGATCGTGCTCTCCTCCAAAGTCAAAGGTAAGGCTTCAACTAACTAGTTTTTCCTTTCGTTTTTGGTTTGTTCATGAAACCTTAAGTGATGTGGAAGCTTAAGGAAGGGTTAAAAGGATTAAAACTAAGAAATAGATGATTTATTTGAGATTGAAGAAAATGAGTTTTTGAATGGTATGTTGAAATATGAGTTTTTATTGAGGTTTACTAGTAGAATTGACTTGCCAAAGAAAAAAAAAAGAAGATATTAGAAGCCTTGGATGTGATTAAAAACATTATAGAAAAAGTAGCATGATTCTTAGTTCGAGATGTTCTTTGGTAAATGGAGTAAAATTAGTTGGGTTAAGTGATGTTAAGTTTAAGGGTATTATTTGAGGTAAAAGTAAGAGTTTTAACCAAAAATTTAGTAAAATTTGAGCTAAAAATTGGAAAATATGGGTTGGGGTATCGTTACTAGAAGAACAGTACCGATACTATAGGTTTAAAATTGAATAATTACGATGAATAATATCAATACTGATGCAATTATTATCGATACTGTTGTGGGTATTGATACTAAGAGAAAAGGGTCAATACCATAGATTCTAGAATGCATAAATGGTATCGATACTGAAAGGGAGTATCGGTACCATAGTATAGAAGTATCGATACCATGGTAGGGGTACCGATAGTATTGAGCCTGGAATTGTAAGATAGGTTGAAATTGTAATAGAAATTAAAAATAATAGTACTTTTGAGTATTATTAAAGTATAAATGTTAGGGAATATACTAACATTGGTATGGTATGTGTCTTTAATAGATGCTTGTGTAGATCCTAACCAAGCTCTTGAGTCATGCAAGAAAAAGGCAAAGACAAAGTTGTCGAATAGTTGGACATCATTGCAACTTATTAGTGAGGCTTATAAGGTGAGTGCATTTATTGTACTTGTATAAAAGGAGAAAAA